TGGAAACAGGTGAAGTTGAATTTATTGCTCACAAGTCACAGACACCTATTGTAGGAGAATCCTAAGCTCAACAACAACATAGTATGTATTTATACTATCAAAAATATAACTAAAAACTTTTTATTTTATTAGATTTTTAAATTCTGACAATACTCGTTTTTTCAGTAACCTTCAAATTGAGTTTGAAGATGTGTCCAATCAAGAAACTTCTTTCCTACCACCTTAGAAAGTAAAATACAAAGAACTTGTATGTAATCATCAAATATATCACGTTTAAAGCGCTTGAAATACTAATACTAATTAAAATTTACAGAAACAGAAATAAATAGAAAGAGTGGAATCTACCTTTTTACGACCATATTTATCGGCTGTTTTCCCCCATATCGGAGATCCAACACCCATTGCAAGAAACACTACCTGCCAAATGTAAGAAATATGTTTACAAACAACAGAAAAGAAGAAAATTCAGGTACAGACAGATATAAAGAATCAGGCGTGTATACTCGACTAAAGCATTTTATTGTTACGAAGCGTCGGCGAAGTCAGAAGTTGGAGTGAAACTTTTATCTTATCTATACACATAATGTTATTATCTCGTATGTTCACCATTTCTTATAGACAGTGTTATAAACAAGTCGTTACGTTTTGTAATTACACTGTTTTCCAAGCGGCGCTCAGTTTATTAGGTTTTTTAATTCTGTCTTTTGTTTAACCCTAAGTACTTTTCAAGTATTATTCAACAACCATAAATATATATCCACACATGCATACTGAGACTAGAGCACATGAATCAGTATAACATTTCTCAATGTATGAAAGGACGGTATTATTTTTTAAAAGCCGTCTAATTAAGAAAAAGTTTATCATATTTAATAGCCAACATGATTTAGTGCTGTTAAAAATAGCGTTAAATGATTTATATCTAGAAATATATAAATTCTCACGAACAATATAAATACTCAATACTCGCATGGAAACTTACAGTAATTTTACAAAAACAAAAACAAAAAACGTTGAACAATGTCCATTATGTTGTTAGAAGAAATATTTGATTTGATTTTTTTTTTCTTGCGTATTCCGCTAGGACAGTGGTAAGTTTACGAATTTACAACGGGGTTCGGTTCCCCGCGAAGGACTGAGAGCACATAGTCCATTGTTTAGTTTTGCAGGGAAGATTTGCACAAAGCTACACAATGGGCTATCTGTGCTCTGCCCACCACGGGTATCGAAACCCGGATTCTAGCGCTGTAAGTCCGCAGACATTAATAATGAACTTTACTGTTTTCATTCAGAAATTTAAAAAAAACACGAAAAAACGTCGTACTTACTGACGTTAGAAGCGCTATCTGGAAAGATGTAATTTTCCATTCGCAGGCTAAAAACCGGCCCAACAGAGATAGAACCATTAGTTCACACGATTCCGCCATCTGATGAAATAAGTTTAAATTAATTAATAACAGCCTTAACTGGTCCAAACAAAAACCTGATACACCAATGTTTCTCTAGACTACGTCTAGGTAAACCAATTGTCACAAAATCACTATTAAGTTATACAGATAAAAACTGTAAATGATATTATTGCAATTCGACATTAGAAAACACTGATGCTGTAGTAATGATAAACATAAATATAATAACTATTGTTATGGTGTGAACGCCTTTTATAAGCCGACGAAGGATGATTAGATATTTTAATTGTCATGGAGACATAAAGATTTATCCCTTCTTTGAAATTTATTCTAAAACTTGTAATTTTTTAGCCTATTTAGAGAAAACTTTCAGAAGAAGATGAAAGCGGAAACGTTGAGAAAATGATATAAAGTGTACTATCTGAAGTTAGTCTTTCTTTACTTATTTTAAAATATGTCTAACAAACTTTATTCATTATATATCTTAAAAAACAGAAGGTTCGTGGCAAAGTAGTTAAACATTGTTTAAAATATAAATATCCCAGTTGTTCGTATTAAAACGTATTGTTAATAAATATCTAGATATATAACAATATCTCATTGAAGACTCATTACTTAATTTCTATAGTGCATATTGGGGTCTAAGAGATATTTTATTACCAGAAATAAACGACCTTATAACACCAAATTGTTATTTTTTTAATTGGACACACAACGTTTCGCTTTACAGCTTCTTCAGGAGTGTTCTATTAAAAACAAACCGAAACTGACTGTACAAAGCTGTCTATAACATCAAACTGACCCAAGCAAAGCAGGACAAAAATGTTAGCTTCCATTGGAACTTTCCGAAACCTCCAGCATTGACAACTTCTTCACACGTGTAGGATTCTGGGACAGAAAGAGAAGCTGTAGGTTAAGTAGATTAGTATATTTACGAATTTTCCACACTTAAGTTTGGTATATTGAAAATTTATTTACTCTGTTAACATTTATACGATATGTAATAAGACTAAATCATATGTGTGATTCTTGTGTTATACACACTGACATGTTTGAAATTTTTATATTTAAATCAATGAACAATATTCAAATAAATTAGAAACTTTAAGTATAACTTTTATATGTTTTGACGTGCATGAATTAAAACATAATCACTACTTATTATTGTATTATAGTAAGGCCATTCTGCTGCTCAAATGTAAGCTTTAGGGCTTATAACGCTAAAATTCGGCACGCGATACCCGCGGTAGACACAGCGCAGATATCCCATTTATATCTTTGTGCTTAAACACAAACCAACAAATTTCCGATCAGAATCAGTGCAGCTGTGTTTGTCTAAATAATTAACCTCACAGCCTTTGAGGTTAAGTTACAGATCATGTGTACATACAGCTTGTTGCTATAAATATTTCGACCACTGAAAATAGTTAATTTCTGAAGCGTTTTCTGTCCCACAGTGGCTCAACGGTAAGTCTGCAGGCTTACGACGCTAAAAATTGGGTTTTCATAACCGTTGTGAGCAGAGAAAAGATAGTCCACTGTGCAGCTTTACACTCAAGAAAAACAACCAATCAACTGAGCATTTACAACTGCAAGGCCTAGTATCCATCTTGAGAAACCGGGTTTCTGGTGAACGAAAAGCGTTAGCGAGGATATTCGATACTTTTTGTACACGTTCCTCGAAGATTAATAGTGAGTCTATTAACCCTATGATACAGTCCTGAAGTACTTTACATTGTTTCAGTGGTTGGGTTTTTGAGACCCGTACAAGCAGTATTGCATATTTGCTCAAAAAAGATGACTTTGCAGAAATATTTGTCAAAAAATTGTAGAGGAATAGAAGGAAGGTCACAGAAACATACGCATCTATAATAGAATTATTGGACAAAAAAAAAATCGTGCCTGGTTTCTTGGACCCAGGACTGCATTCTAGGGTTAAGAACTGCAAGCCTTTGAATACCAGAACTACAAGTATGCTGTAGTGCTTCAATATTTTAGAAGGTATCATGCATTGCACTGGTATATATTAACCTATTTTGTTTATTAATTAGAGACAAGTTTAATCAATGACTAACCATTGTCCATCGATATTAGAAATTTCCCAGTCAATGTTAATTTATTACATTTTTTATAAAGTATTCTACATATATATATATATGTGTGTGTGTATGTATACATCCACGGTGGAATCTTCCTGTAGCAACAAATTCTTGTCTTATTAGAAACTGAAGGAACACAGTTATGATGAAGAGTATGTTTACTTATAGACATATGGAAAGTTTATTTACATTTGGACGCTTCGGAAAAGGCCTTCCAGTATAGCGTCATTTCCGGTATTCGAAAAGTTACCGAATATTCCGATTGATTGATTTACACTCTAGTACAAGCTCTCCTTTTTCCAGTGATGGAATAGGGGGGAGGAGGTAGAGACGATGACGTTCAAGAAGAGGTGCCAGAGACATTGACGTCATATTTCCACGAAGTGGCGCCAGAGGGCGTGTTCCTAGGGTTAAGTCAACAAGGTCATCTATGATGAGCGCGAATATAGTTTGCGAGCGAACCACCAGGGGGTGATGTAGATCAACAGATACCAAAGTGTCGCAACATGTGATTATATCATCAACTTTATAGTTTTCGCTTCAGTAACAATAAACGTCTTAAAATTAATAATTTATCTAAATTGGATATTGTACTTTTACAACTATACTCATTTATCTTGCACAGTCCTGAAAAAGATGGGGTGAGGTGGATAGTGTTAGTAAGGTACTACAAGTGGGTGGTTTTATTAAGGTGCAATAGGCAAATAGTGTTTCTACGGACAATGCTACTATAGTTCTGTAGAGATCATCGTGTGATGTCTCAACTTATGTTCATAGTTTTTACTTATATATTGAATTACATTACGTAAGTTATATTTTACAATTATTTGCAAAAAAAAATCAATATCGCTAATTCATTTCAATAATTAATCTACATATGTCCTAAAAAGTCACTTTTCAAATAAAACCATTATTTGAACGAGACAGCTATTACAACGTTGTTTATATAAGTCTTGTTTTTACATCACATTGAGAAAAGAGAATAAGTTTGTTGTCCAATCTGTGTTTAATCAACAGTATTTTGCCTTATTTGCATAAAGTATTTTTTCTTCCTGCAATTATCTTTTCTGTAAAGGACAAAAATATTAACTTAACTATTTAAATCTCTAATTACATTTCGCATATAATAATTGAACAAACAATCTTACTATTTCACTTTATAAGTACATATTTACACATATAACACATGTTTCACTAGTTACATTACATTTTCATGGATTAAACATAACCTTATGCTAACCTTCCATGTATATAGCTCCTTTTCACTCGTATCTCTAATTTAACATCTGATTAATAAACTCGTAAATCATCTTGCTACAACTAATTACGATAAATCAATGACTTACTGTTTAACCAATCAATTTAATACTGTTACGTCTCCGTTCGTTAGTTGATTTTCCGTAACTTCGTTCCCACGAAACTTTAGCGACACAAGTCCTTTCTTAATAAAACTGGTTTTTCTTTCTGAATATAACTTTACCGATACACTTATTTTCAACAATCGCTCTATAACAACGCTATAACAACGACGTTAACTTCAACAATACTTTCTGACTGCAGTTCAGTTACTCACTACCTACACGCGTTCTCACGTCACGCCGTGACCATCTTATATATATATACCAGCCCACCCCCAATCTAGCGAATGCTAGAGCACTCCCGAAGGAACAGAATAGTTCTAGAAACGTGGCGTGACACTAGTCACGTGACCTCACTGACGCAACACTACTAAGGAAACTATTCAAAATAGCAATACTTACTGTTTTATGATTTTATATATAACATTCATTTGAAGTACAAAATATACAATACATTTGAAATGCATAAAACTTAATGGTTTTAGAGTACAGCCTATTTGATATAAACGAACTTTTTTCATTCGCACTAACACTGTTTAGGAGGTCCAACTCAAATGGTGTTGGCCATAACTCACGATAGGAATATAAGTCTAAGTTCTGGATTGTTGATACAAGAACAATGTGTACACGACCTTTACTATGAGTAGTTAATGGCTAACTTCATACAACTTTGTGCATTTCTTCGTTATGTCCATGTTACTACTTGTTCATTTTCAATTCAGTATGTAAGATTTTTATTATCGTTTATAAACAAAAAAGTTAGTGTACAATTCGTGTATTTTGCTGAGTTCATCGTGCTTTACAACCAAAACATTTTAACTCAGTGTTACTGTTCCTGGTAGCTTCTTAAAACTGCCGATAGAGTACACACCTAATTTCTCCCATTTATACCCCAGCTGAGCCGAGAGCAACGCGTGGTTTTTTTGTGGCTCGGGGAACGAAATACTCCACGATACTAAACCAGAGTATGTTTTCCACGGATTAACCGTATCTCTATTATTTGTCTCTTATGATACAATAAGAGTTTTTAGACCTTATACATGTCAAATATGAAACAATATTTGCTTTAGTAAAGATTTTTGGAGAGTATTGGGTTTTTATAAGGGCAATTTCTTATTTTTTTTATTAGATTGAAGAAGGATGGCGACATTGAAGGCGAGATAATTAGGAAGATGTTGGCTGACTTTCCCAGTGATAGTGAACCTGAGATCAGTAGTGAGAGTGAATATTAATTTCTGTAGCGTTTCTGTATCCCAGTGGCTCAGCGGTAAGTTTACGACGCTAAGTATAGATTTTCGATACCCGTGATGGGCAAAGTACAGATAGCTCCTTGTATAGTTTTGCGCTCGATAGCAACCAACCAACCAACTATAGCGTTTTCAACCACATGGCCTGATATCCATAGTGAAAAGCCAGAACTCTATAGAGAGAAAAGCGTTAGCGAAGGTTTTTTGAAACATTTTGTGCACGTTCCCATAGCATTAATAGTGAACCAATTAAGAACTGGGAACTTTTGAAAATCAGAACTAGAACTATGTTATAGTTTGTCGATATGTTAGTGGTATTACGCATTACACCGGTACATATTCACTCACTTTGTACCAACAAATCTTTAGTCTTATCAGAAAAAGAAGGAACAGATGATGAAGAATATGTTTATTTACAGACAAGTAATACATTTATTTACGTTTCGATACTTCGGAAAAGGCTTTCCGGTAAAGCGTTATTACTAGTATTCGAAAAGTTTTCGAATAATCAGGTTAGGATTTACATACTAGAGGAGATTATCACTGGCCAATGTACAGGCTTTGGAGACTATTTATAGAGTCCCGTCCCAGCACGTTTGTCAGTGTATGGTAAGTGTGGTGCCATCCTTAATTTCGAACCACCTACCATAGGGAGGCAACTGGCTTTTATTTTTAAATAGTTATTATTTCCAAAGGGAAACTATTTTTATAATATGTTATTTGGCACATAAGTTAGAACCCCTTGTCATTTGTAGTGGGGGGATATTAAAGCAACAATTTCTGTGTTTCGTCTGTTTTGAAGCAACATTAGGAAGGAGAATTCGAACAGTTTTTGAATATCTCGACTGTCAGTATAAAAGCATAAAATTTAGCATAGAATATAATACCAACAACAAACCCGCCTTACTTATATGTTTTTGTTCAGTTAGTCACAAAATCACAAAACCCTGATATTTCAATGTATCACAATAAAACTCGAATTAACATCTTAATGTCCGTTCATGTTTTGGAGCTGGATCTATGCAGAACTACTTAACACCTTGTTATTATAGTGAATCCCAAGTAAACTCATTCTAGTAAGTATCTAAATTTCCGTTCATGTAATCCACCTACTGCTAGAGCTGAAGCTGTACATGAGTACTTAAAACCCTGTTATTATAAAGTATCATAAACAATATAGATAAATATCTAAGTTTCCACCTTCTGCTAAACCAGGATTTATTAAAATCCACAAATCTAGAGCTGAAATCATAAGTTCCTCACTTTAAGGACAAACTTGGACATGCTAAAAATATCTTCATTAACAATGGTTATCCAAAAAATAGTTCCAGGAATGTTAGATATACACGACTGTTCGTACGAGAGTATTATTTTAGTTTATATAGTGCGATCGTTAAAGTAAGTTATTTTTAGAAGTGATAGTTATGGTAAGTTTGCTTACGAATCATTTGTTGTGTAGTTCAATTCTTGTGAATTGACGTCACGTTACTAGAACCTTCCGAATTTTTCTCGAGTATTTTTGCATCATATAATATCTAGGAGTGCATAGAAAGTTCTAGATTGCTGTCGAGAGTAATATACAGAGCGTGGTCACAAGTAAATAGACACCACCTTTTCAGAAAAAATGAAAATTTTCATTCATATTCACATGAATTGATATATTTATAATTTAATTAATGTCTAGTAGAGCTTCCTTTCGCTTCGTGGAGTTCGTTGATCCTCTGGGACATCGTGAGAATCATCTCGTCAATTTTAGATTGTGGGATATTCGCCCACTCTTGCTTCAAAACTTGGAGTAGATCACTCTTCGAAGTT